CAAAGTACGGAGCCACCAAGCTGGAATTGGTCAGTACAGTGTGGTGTGCTTCAGTCAGAGAATGGCCGTCCATACATATCGTTGATTTCCTTCCGATCGTGCCTTTTCCACTTAGTCTCCCCTCGTGCCGCGATCGAGGAAGACCAATCGGCTTAAGGTCAGGAACAAAGTCAACACAAAACTCAATTACCTCCTCATTTCCATAGCCCTTGGCGATGCTTCCTTCTGGCCTAGCACGGTTACGAACATATTTCTTTAATACTCCCATGAACCTCTCGAAGGGGAACATATTGTGTAGAAATACAGGACCGAGAACGAAAATCTCTTCGACTAGGTGAACCAGGAGGTGCGTCATAATATTGAAGAAGGATGGCGGGAACACCAACTCGAAACTGACAAGACATTGGATCACATCGTTCTGTAACCGTGGTAGAACTTCTGGATTGATTACCTTCTGAGATATTGCATTGAGGAATGCACATAGCTTCACAATGGCTACTCGAACATTTTCCGGCAGGAGCCCCCTCAAAGCAATCGGAAGCAATTGCGTCATAATCACGTGGCAGTCGTGAGACTTCAGGTTTTGGAACTTTTTCTCCGCCATGTTTATTATTCCCTTTATATTGGACGAGAATCCAGACGGGACCTTCATACTGCTCAGGCATTCAAAAAAGATGACCTTCTCTTCTTTGGTCAGAGCGTAGCTGGCACGACCTTGAAACCATTCTGGATGCCGGTCATCAGGGTCTTTCAAACGTTGCTGGTCCTGCCGTGCTTCCTTTGTATCATTTGTCTTCCCATACACGCCCAAGAAGCTTAGGAGGTTCACGCAAATATTCTTCGTAACGTGCATCACGTCGATTGCAGAGCGGACATCTAGGACTTTCCAATATTCTAGCTCCCAGAATATAGATTTCTTCTTCCACATGGCTGCGTGCCCGTCAGCTCCCTTCGGAACTGATTGTCCGCCAGGACCCTTTCCAAAGATGACTTTCAAATCCTTGACCATATCAAATACCTCAGCACCAGTGCGTTCCGCAGGCTTCGGACGGTGATCTGCCTTGCCGTTGTAATGCTTGCCTTTCTTTCTTACTGGATGAATTTTCGGAAGAAATCGACGATGCCCAAGGTACACGTTCTTCTTACAATTTGGCAAATGTACACTTTCAGTCTCATGTAAGCAGTGCGTGCATGCATTGTATCCCTTATTTGACAGTCCCGAAAGGTTACTAAGAGCAGGCCAATCGTTGATGGTTACGAAAAGCAACGCTCGTAGGTCAAATTCCTACACACGGACACCACCCCACAGCTGTAAAAGTTCATCAACTAATGGCCTTAGGTACACATCGATGTCGTTGCCGGGTTGCTTCGGACCTTGGATGAGCACTGGCATCATAATGAACTTCCGCTTCATGCACAACCAAGGAGGAAGGTTGTAGATGCATAGAGTCACGGGCCAGGTGCTATGGCTGGAGCTCTGCTCGCCAAAAGGATTCATGCCATCCGTACTTAGAGCAAATCTTATGTTCCTTGCGTCAGCTGCAAAATCTTTGAACCATCTGTCGATCTTTCTCCATTGCGTTCCATCTGCGGTGTGTCTCAACTCCCCGTCCGACTTACGGTCCTCTTTGTGCCATCGCAACAACTTGGCATGCTCTTTGTTCCTGAACAGACGTTTCAACCGTGGTATTATAGGAGAATACCACATCACCTTGGCGGGAACCCTCTTCCTGGGTTTCTGGCCCTCAACATCGTCACCAGGGTCATCGCCTCTGATCTTATAACGCAATGCAGTGCATACCGGGCATTCATTCAAATTCTCGTATTCACCGCGGTAGAGGATGCAGTCGTTGATGCATGCATGTATCTTCAGAACCTCTAAACCTAGAGGGCAGACAACCTTCTTTGCTTCGTACGTACTGGAGGGCAACTCGTTATCCTTTGGAAACATATTCTTCAACATTATCAGCAAGTTTTCAAATGCCGAGTCAGCTACACCTGCCTCTGCCTTCCATTTCAGCAAATCCAGTGTGCAGCCCAGCTTTTTCAGACCATCATCGCATCCGGGGTACAGCGCCTTTCTGTGATCCTCTAACATGCGATCCAAATTCTCCCTCTCCTTTTCAGTTTCGCAGCGTCTCCGTGCATCAGCAATGGTCCGACCAAGATCATCAACGGGATCATCACGTGCCTCTTCTTCACCTTCCCCTTCACCTTCAGCATCCTCCATGAAAGTATCACCGAAATGAGCAAGATAGCTTTCATCGATGAAATCATCCCCTTCTTCATCTTCTTCCATTATAACCCCTCTTTCTCCATGCTTGGTCCAACAATTATAGCTTGGCATGAAACCGTGCCGAAGCAGATGCATGTGAACATCTCTTGAGGAAGAGTAACCCTTCTGATTCTTACAGATAACACATGGACATATAACAAAACCCCCTGCTTGTTCGCATTAGCCACTACGAGGAAATCTTTCAAACCCGTAGTGAACTCGCCGGAGAGTCGGTTACCGTACATCCATTGCCGATTCATCTGCATTATTATAATATAAAATATATAATTAACCATCATGCATTTGTTAAACTAACTAGCTACAAACAATATAAATTAAACAATGAACTGCACACATGCATATTTTATCAATGACACACATGCATGAAAGGTTCAAGTTGCTAACCGCGATCGAGGAGGAAAAAATAAATGAGGAACCTCAAGTGTGGCTCCAACACTTCATATCATGTTTGTTTCACCCTCTTAGGGCATTTCATCAAACACCTTGTGTGCATAAGAGGAACCAAAAGCAAACCTACACCCCCTTGTGAAGCTTGTGAAGAGAAGTGGCACCAAATGGCTAAGTGAGCGTGCTGAACTGGTATATATAGGGGAGGAGCTTTAGTCGCGGTTGGCCTGGCCAACCGCGACTAAAGGCCTTTGCGCACCTTTAGTCGCGGTTGGCCTGGCCAACCACGACTAAAGCCCCTCACGTGCACCAGCTGGCCACCGAGCGCCCTGGGCCCAGGCCTTTGGTCGCGGTTCGTCTGCCGAACCGCGACTAAAGACTTCATTAGTTGCGGTTCCTACACTTTCGCGACTAATGGGGCTGGACGGAAGCCTCTTTTTCTACCAGTGGCGGTTGGCATGCTCGCGCTCATGGGTGCCTATGCTTCCGGGAGCTCCCGCGACCTCAAGAACTCCATCTACATGCTGATGTTGGTGGTCGCGGTGTCGGTCTCCCTACCCCTACGGTTAGCCATCTTCTGGTACATCCGGCCCCACAGGTACAGTATCCGCCTCCAGGACGGACCTAGAACAAGACGGCAAAGAGTGCGTGGCCTAGGTGGCATCGACAAGGAGAAAGACGAGGAGATTGAGTACCTAATGTTGCTAGGGATCCTGGCTGCGAGCGTGACGTACCAGAGCGGCCTGAGACCTCCGGGTGGCATGTGGCAGGAGGACAGCGGCGCCTACTTCGCGGGCAACCCGATCCTACACGACGTCGTCAAGCGCCGGTACGACATCTTCTTGTACAGCAACTCTGCTTCGTTCATGGCGTCCGTCCTCACCATCGTCATGCTGCTCCCGTTGACGCTTACCAACCTAGAGTGGCTACGGCGCTGCTTACCATTCCACGCGGCAGACCTCAAGTGGCCAATTTGGCCGGTCTACACGGCCATTCTGCTGGACATGCTCGGCCTGCTCGTGGCCTACACGGCAGGAAGTACCAGGGATTGGGAGTCAACCAGGAATGTCATATGCATCATTGTCCCCATACTACTCTACATTGCGGCTTACGCCGCGGTACCGATCTGGATGGACACCCGTAGGAAACATCCTAGATCTCCCCAGTCGTTAAGCATGGAATCAGGCCGACAAATGCTGCCCCTGTTTAGTAGCTAGCCAATGATGAATCTCCCTCTACAATATAGCGGCTATTGTGTATTTTTTGTCGAAAAAAGACTGTAAATCACCAAGTGGATCCAACTTTTACGTTGTTGTGTTCGTGTATCTGTCAACACTGTTCGTGCTGGATATGACGAGGCATTGTATCATGTCATCGCCACACTTTAGAGATATTTTCTTCTCACTTCTACTTCGATCGATGCACCCCTTAAACACATCAATGGCCCACGATAGGCCGATACCCCTTCATAATAAATATTATAAAGGACATTTTAAAACAACACCTTAGCAGACCGGTATGCGCCGTCCATGTCATATGTCGTCTGTGCTTGTACGTACCAATCCCGTAAGTACCCGTTGGTGGTGTGTTAACGCGTCACATGATCGACATGTTAGCCATAATCTTGATGCAAGTTTGTTAGTTGACTGCCTAGTTAGTAGGGGAGGATTGAGTCACACGCATGCATGGATAAGTTGTTAGTGGCCGAGTCATGGATGCATGCATGTAGTGCCTTAGCTGGTGCGTGCGTGACTTGCGGTGTGGCTGGGCTGTGCGTGCGTGTGTGGCAGTTGGGGTGTGTGTGCGCGCACCGTGTATAAATCCCCCGCCCGTGTACTGCTTGTATGGTAAGAGCCAGCGATGTAGCCACTGAAAAGATAAAGAAGATTAGGGTGTGCGTCCGCCCACGGCGGCGTTCGTGCGCCGGCCCGGAATTTCTTGTGTCTTGTATCTTTTTCTACCTCTAGCCAAGAGTGAGAGAGGGCTGCGATTCCAACACGATAAGGGATGCATGCGATTACCCACACGGCAACACGCCGTCTACCAGACTACCACACGAGTTGTTGGTGGGCCAAGGATTCAGAGGCGCCCACCCATGTCCCCTCGTTCCCATATTTGCAGCCTCTTTACACCCCTCTTCATAGCCGGGTTCGCCTTCATAGCCTTAGCCGCCGCCACTGCATTCATGCCCAAACCGTAGCAGTCCAACTCCCACCTCCGCAGCGATGTGGCGCTACGAGTGTGGGGCCGGAAGCAACCGGCAATGCCCTGCAACCCAGCCTCCAAGAGGCGGAAGACCTCGCCCATTTCTGCATCATTGCGCCAATGGCCTTGTTTGGATACTCTAACACATAATTAGAGTTAGAATTATTTTCTAACCCACTCTAACCTAAATAAGCACCTCTCCATCAGGATAGTTGGGTTAGATGGAACTAACCCACTCTAACCCTCCTGTTTGGATGCTTTTGGGTTATTTGAACCCCCAACTAATCCAAACTAGCTCTAACCCCACGATCCAAACAAGGCCAATGGATATGCGCACCGCAACATGATGCCTGCCATCATCGCTTACCTGGCACGCCTGACGTCGCAGGTGAGGGACGATCCGATCTATGACCCCTACAACCCTTTTTGGAAGCTGATCCTAGCCCATGATCATGCGGACTGGATCTAGCAGTTTAACGCCCTGTACCCACCGACACACCAATGACTACGGGCGCTTCTCCCCGAGATACAACAAACTCCACCTTGGCGAATATTCTCCACCACCTTGAATTTGTTCATGCGTCAAACTTCCATGTACTCCGGACTTGTGTTGTCTTCTTCATAGCTTACTGAGAGCTACTCGACGAGTCTGCCCCAGACCTGCCGCCGCCGTGAGACCCCGCTACTACCCCCGCAACTCCATTCTCCGTGACTCCACCTGCAATAGTGCTTCCTTGCAACTTGTAAAGATGCGAAGCCGTCCTCGCTCCAATCATCACGGTCACCTCATCTTTCATGATTCTCATGGTCTTCTTATCCCGATCACAACGGAATACCATACCATCATCATGAAGAATACTAAGCGAAATTAGATTCCTCCTTAGCCCTGGCACATGCCTGACTCCCCGAAGCATCCGCTCAACTCCGTCAAACATCTTGATTTTGATGTCACCTACTCCAGCAATACGATAACCTGTGTCATCACCCGCATAGGCTAAACCAAACTCACTAGACTTGTATGAAGAGAACCACTCCCTGTTGGGTGTCGCATGAAAAGAGCAAGCTGAATCCAACATCCGCGCTTCACCTTTGGTTGACCGCCTGTCTGATACTACGAGAACATCACTACTGCTGCCCGAGTCATCACCATGAGTTGCCTTATTAGCACTTGCCCACCATTGAGTTCTGGACAGTCCTTTCTCATATGCCCCCACTGCTTACACTTGTGACACTGTATATTCTTTTTCTTTTTCTTGTTCTTACCAGCCTCATATCCCTTCCGCCACTCATCACCCTTGACTAGCAAACCTTCACCATGAGAGACTTCCACCGCGTTCTTCTTTCTCATATCATAAGATACCAATGCCGCAGTAATATCCTCATTCTTGACGGTCTCTTTGCCATGCGTCAAAGTAGTGACCAAATGGTCATAGGATGATGGCAATGAACAAAGAAGCAGAATTGCCCTATCCTTGTCGTCAACCATCACACCCAAGCGTGCTAGATCCGTCACAACTTGATTAAAGGCGTTCATATACTCCACGAGATCCGATCCCTCATGCATCCTCATCCCATACAACTTTTGCTTCAGATACACCTTGGACGTCGCAGTCTTGCACATAAACTGACTTTCCAGCTTCTCCCAGATCTTCTTCGGCGAATTTTCATCCATCACATGATAAATAACCTGGTCCGATAGACACAACCGTATAGTCCCAGCTGCTTTCAACTGTAACTCCTCCTAGTCATCAGCCTCCATCTTAGCTGGCTTGGCTTCCTGCAACAACGCCTTCAAGCATCTTTATTGTGCCAACAAATTTTTTACCCTTGTCTACCATAACACAAAGCTTCCAGTTTCGTTGAACTTCTCCACCTCAAACCTGGTACCCGATGGTGCCATGGTTCTTTGTACGGCTGTCCTGCGAAAAATTATCCGAACTTTTCATGCGATGCCCCAAGTACACGAACAGGATCTCCGCGTACTAATAGCAAAACCAACCAAAAAATTCCTTACGGTCTTCACGTGTTCTGCTCCTGGCTCAATCTCCAATGCTGATGCAACTTGCTTTGCCTAGCCTGTGCTAATTCCGATGGATTGCCGCTATCAATGGATTTTCTCTTTTCCATTGGATCTGCTTTTGCCTTTGTCCCGTCCAGTGACCCGGCACGTGAGACTAATTATACTAGCGCACCTGCAGGTTTCCGTATCCAACGTGACGCGAGGTCTTCCAGGACTCGGTCCCGTTTTTGTTTCCAAAACAAATCTCATATAACTTGGCCTGCATGCAACGAGCTGGACCGTGTCGTCACGCCTTGCTCCGGCCGCACGCCTTTAGAGTCCCTGGGCCGCACGCCCGCGCCCGACTTGATCGGCAAGGCTAGCCCAGCTGGCCCTCACGTGCCGTCCACGCCTTGGACTTTCATCGCTGCACGGCTCCACGTGCTTCCGATCCGAGCCGCTCCTGCTGCCACCGCTTGATGCTTTCCGATCTCGTCGAGTTCCCGTCGAATAAGTTGACCGCGGTACACAACTCCGCAACGAGCTCAGCGACAATCTGCCTCGTCGATCACGCAAAACAACCTCTTCCTATCCTTGCTCATGATACCACTTGTTAGAATAAATTTGAAGTACACAGTCGATCCACCGAGGAACAATCAATCACAGACAATGACGATACCGAGATTTGTTAACGAGGTTCGGCGAACTCACCTACTCCCCGGGGCAATGACTACGGGCGCTCCTCCCGAGATACCGCAACACCGGCCACCCGGGCGCCGGCACAAGCCGCTGCACCCCTTTGCGAGCCTGCCACTATCTAGTCGTCATGGGTTACAACGTGGGGTGCCTCCTCATATATAAAAGGCCAAAGGTACAACGTGTTCGACTCCGATACTACACGTATCCTACAACATCAAGTCCAAACGTAACCCAACTAGTACAAAATATTCGACACAAACACAACAGAATGAGTGAGCGATCCAGATCCTGGTGCTCCTCAGCTTGTCGCTGCAGGTTGTCCGCCTCCTCTTGTCAGGGATCCGCCGGCATGAGGCTCCTCCTCTGGCTGGCGTACCACCTTGCCGACTCCACCGCCATATACGCTCTGGGCCTTCTCTCCCTCACCAGCACTGCAACCCGTGACAACGAGTTGTCGCCTTCTGGGCACCATTCCTCATGCTGCACCTTGGCGGGCCGGACAAATACCGCCTATGCCCTTGAGGGCAACCAGCTCTAGAAGCGTCACCTGCTCACAAACAACATGCAGGTCCTCGGCGCGACCTACGTCCTCTACCACAATGTTGCTGCAAGCGGGGGCTTGAGCTTGATCCTGGTGGCCACCATGTTGATGTTCGCCATCGGGGTGGTCAAGTACGCGGAGAGGACATGGGCACTGAAGCGCGGCAACATGGACGACATCCGAAGCTCCCTCAACAACTCCGGCGTAAAGGACGACCGCAACATCGACCCTAAAGGTGTCCACGGCAAGTTCGACGAGCAGGTTCTTCTGGAGGTCGCCCACTCCCTGTTCCAATTCTGCAAGCTCGGGCTCGTCGATTCTTCAGTTCATATGAATCGTCCTCGGTTCCGAGACTACAATTTTGGCTGGAACGATATGTGGAAGCTGATGGACATGGAGCTGTCCTTGCTGTACGACATATTGTACACGAAGGCGGCTGTCAACCACACCTGGATAGGCAGCATAGGCTACTTGGTCCTCTTCGCGTCACCACCCGCTACCGCCGCAGCCTTTGTGCTATTTCAATTTCACTTGATGATGACGAGTAGTGTAACTGTCCACAGAAGAGTTGATGTTGCCATCACCTATGCCCTGCTGGCTGGCGCCTTTTTCATGGAGGCAACGGCTCTGCTGGCTGCCATGGGGTCGACCTAGACGCTTGCTTTCTTGAGCAATCTGCCCATGCAGTGTAGCTCGATCCAGCACGCGCTCGTGTGCTCTAGGAGATGGCATCGGCTTCTTTGTCTCCTCCTGTCCCTAGGCCGACTTGACAT